TCCCTAAAGACTAGAAATGGACATATATGCCTGTCTTTGAAACAGGAGGGGTAGAAACATAGGATGACCCTAGTAATTAAAGACCACCAACTTATTGATCTTTGTGAAAAATGAGAAAGAACCATCAATTAATCAATTTGCAGTCATCCAGGAAATCCTGAGGCACTAAAGAGGAATCAACATGGTTTTGTGAAGAGCAAATTGTACAGACAACTTTAATTTCCAACAGTAATAGCACAGAACCCACAGACCAGGGAGAAGCCTAGTAATCTTTTTTACTAGCTAACCTGGGAAAAGTAGAATCTTGACCACATTACTTTAACAATCTCAATATCTGGGTTGAAGATTTGTGGATGAAAGAGGTGGTATGAGAATAGTAGACATAGTGATGGATGGACCAGTAGGGATTTATACTGAAGTCTAATACAGTCAGCTTATTTATTGACATCCCAGACAAAGAAATGAAGAATGTGTATCAGATTTGTGCTTCCCAAATTTGGTGTGGTTTTGATTGTGTGGAAAATAGTAATAAAGCTTTGAATGACCCTATTCATTGGAAAAATAAGTCTGTAATAATTAGGTTTGAAATTTAATAAGAAAATGTGCTTGCAGGGACCCAAACCCAAGAATACAAATATAGGATGGGTAAGAGTGTAAGAGAAAAACACATGGGGGTCAGAACTGACCACAAATAGAATGTGAGTTAGAAACATAAAAACTAACACCATTCTGGTATGGAGTAATTCACTCTTTCATTCAATTTTTTAAAAAACTGTTACTGAGCATCTGCTATGCATTTTCTTGTCTTTACAGTCATTATTTTGTCCATCGTTGGAATGTTTTTGGGGACTGAGAAATGCATGTGAAGAGAAAGAAGCTGTCTCACTCAGATAATCTAAGGTACAGTAGAAAGGCCTTTTTTTTTTTTTTTTTTTGACCGGTAAGGGGATCGCAACCCTCAGTGTCGCGCCCGCACCGCGCTCAACCAGTGAGCGGACCGGTCTCTATATGGGATCCGAACCCTCGGCGGGAGGCCGCCGCGCTCCCAAGCGCCGCACTCTACCGAGTGCGCCTCCGGGCCGGCCCTTACTGTAGGTTTTTATTCCTATGTTTGAAGCTGCTTCATGGTAGAAAGTATAAAAAACGTGCTGGAAAAAGGTAGAAAAAAGGCAGAAGAGGTAGTAGGTCCTGGGCACCCAGGGTAGAAGAAGAAGACACTGGGGACTTGGAGGTGTTAAAGAATGCCTAAAGAGAAGAAGAGGAGAAAGCAGGGATAGGAGGGGATAGAAGACAAGCTTCACCACAGCTTCTCTGGGATCTTGCTTTTTAAAAGGGATGCAGAGTAAAGCAGGGGCAGAGTGTGTAAAGCAGCATGGCAGAATGGGAAAGGCACCAGGTGAGGAGTCAGAAGATATGGGTTCTAGTTCCTCTTATGCTGTTTTTTGGCTGATATGATCTTGGCAAGTTATTTCCTTGAAATCTATGGCTAGTTTTGTAATTGTTATGTACTGTTAGAGAGAAGGGTTAATGGAATAAAATACGGTAAAAAACTTTACAGTCCTGAAGAGTTCGAATGTGGGGGAAAAAAAAAGAAATCCACGGTTTTACCTGTGAACTGGCCACAATAAAATTACTCACTCAACCTCACTGAGTTTGTGTGAGGATCAAATGATGTCATAGATGTGACAGAGTGTTACAAACCCAAATACGTATTCCACATGTGAGAGATTAATCTTCAGAGAAAACTTCACATGTGAGGCTTCCAGTTACTGAAGTGATCCCTGAAGATCAAGCTCAGAGTAACTCAGCATCTAAGAGGGGCCTCCCTATTGGAAATACTCTGATTGCCAATTAGTTTGCTCAGAGGGACTTTAACTTGCCCATAATAACTGTCTTTTCCTTCCCAGGCAGGTGTAAGAAGGATTTTCCTCTGTTTTCCAGTTATATGAGAGAAGCCTGTTGGAAGGTCTGAGAATTGAGAGGGTCAGGAATTTGAGGGAGTTGGACATTGGAGTTTCCCTGGGGCTCTAGGGAAGTTATGGGCCCAGATTTTGTTAAAGCCCTTATTTGTTTGAAGACCCCACTGTGGATCCTACAGTTGTTATATAGCTTTTTTTGGTTGTTATGAAGAGGTAGAGGAAGTGATGAAATGCCCCAAGGGATGATTAGGCTGGTACGAGAGGTCTTTTGGGGGAGCAGGGAAGAGAAGATGGACTGAGTAATCCTGAGGATAGCCTAGCATTGCGTGGATTTTTCTGGTGGAGAAATAATACAAATCACTATCATTTATTGAGCACTCACTTTGTGCTACTCTTCTTTACATATTAACTCATTTAATCTTCATTAGATCCCTATGAAGTAGGATGTTTTGCAGAGGTGGAAATATGACGGGTGAGAAGTTAAATAATTCATCCTAGTCACATCGCTAGAAAGGGTGGAGTCAGGAATCATACCCACTCAATCTGATTCCAAAGTGGTGCTCCAGAATGTGATGTGATATGATGTGGCAGAAAGAAGCCCAGGCTTCCAATCAGAAGGCCTGGTGGTCATCACTCCACTTCCCCTAATAAAAGGGAGTGGTCTGTGGCCTGTTATTGTGAGAATTACCCAGCCTGCTTTGGGCACCACCAAGACCTACCTCTACCTTCATGTTGAGTTGGTGAGGCCAACTCCTGACATAATTAAATCTTAAGTCTAGGAGTGATTGGATTCCAGCCATACTAGTTTTATTCCCCATTTCCTCCCTAGTGTAAGACCTCTAAGAGAAGGAGGAGAGAGAGAAAAAGTGGGGGTAGGAGAAGGGAAAGTGGGGGTGGGTGGGAATGACATCAAGCAGGAATGTGCCAGTCAGCGGGGGTAGATTTTCCACTTGGATCTGTGTGGAAACCTGATCCTGACTCTATTTTTGGTCTCCTTCTCTAACAACCTTTCACCAGATTGGAATTTTTCTGCACCTGTAACACATTTTTAATGTAATAAGTCTAGGAGAAACCAGGTATTATATCATGCTGGGGCCTGTGCTGTGTTTCTAGGAGCAAAGGTAGCCCAGACCCCAGTTTATCCCTATAGGGGATTAGTGTATTAGTCACCCTGTAAAAGTTCAATTTATTATGATTTTTTAAATGTTTCTTTTAGCACTTGCTTATAAAAGGTGAAGAGGGGAGCTACGAATGTGTCTGTGTTCCCTGCCCCCAGTTCCTTCACACAGGCACATATTCTCTATCAATTTCCTATGAACCCAAATTCACAAAATCAAATCCAGAGGTATTGGCTTTGACCATTTAGCTTACCTTTGCTTCATTGGGCTTTGTCCTGGTTTGGACCAAGGCAAGTAATGAAAAAGCAAGGCTATTATACTAGCCACGCCTCAGTGGGGAATGAAAGCAAGTTAGAAAGTAAGTTAGCTGTTTAGGATGAGCATAAATGGCTTCTGGGGCAAGGCTTGGGTTTGGCTTAGTTTTGTGTGACTGGGCCCTTTCTTCCCTCTTACTGAAGACTGGCTGTCTTGTGGGTATATCTGCCATCGATTGCATGGGGCTCAATGTAGATGTTTCTTATTGCCAGCTTTTCTGCCTAACTGGAGAGCTCTAGGCAACTCATCCCCATCACTGAGAAGATAGATAGATGATAGGTAGGTAGATAGATAGAGAGAGAGAGAGAGATAGAGAGAGAGAGAGAGAGAGAGAGAGAGAGAGAGAGAGAGAGAGAGAGAGAGAGAGAGAGAGAGAGAGAGAGAGAGAGAGAGAGAGAGAGAGAGAGAGAGAGAGAGAGAGAGAGAGAGAGAGAGAGAGAGAGAGAGAGAGAGAGAGAGAGAGAGAGAGAGAGAGAGAGAGAGAGAGAGAGAGAGAGAGAGAGAGAGAGAGAGAGAGAGAGAGAGAGAGAGAGAGAGAGAGAGGAACAGCTCAAGCCCATGTTCACATAAGAACATGCGAGACAGTGTGGCAGAGGGAGAGAGCACTGGACCGAGGAACAGACAGACATAGGTTTGTGTCCTGGTTCCATCATCCAGGCTAAGAGTCTGGATCCAAGTTGCCTGGGTTTTAAGTTTTGGTGCCTATTCAGTACTCAGGTGAGTCTTTCACCCTTTATGTCATTCTTATCACTCATTCAGTAAAATCCTAACTCCTATCCCAGAAGGTGATGTAATACAGCAGAAAGAAGCCTGCCTCTAATCAGAAGATCTGAATTGAAATCCCAGCTCTTCCATTTTCTATCTGTGCACAGAGGCAAATTCCAAGTTTTGTGGGCTTTGAAGCTAACATAGTTTCTGGTGCTTTCTTTAAGAAAAAGAGTACAAAATTATGAATATAAAGTTACTAGAGCCCCTGCCAGGGCCTGGAAGGAGCTTATGCAAGTGAAGAGCCAAATGATCCTGAAACTTCATTAGCTTCACTAAATCTGCCTCTGTGTCTAGCCCTAAGTCACTTAACCTCTTTGAGCCCCAGTTATTTCATTCCTAAAATGGATTTAATCATGCCTCTTTGTCCTAAGGGAGTATTCTAAGGAACAAGCAGGAGTAAATTATGTGTAAGAGTGTTTTTGTTCAAAGTGCCAAACATATATATGTATATATACACACACACTTGTATATATATAGTCTAGCGATATGTGTGTGTGTGTGTGTGTGTGTGTGTGTGTGTGTGTAGATATAGTCTAGAAATATATTATTATTATGGTCCATTCGGTTTGGTTTAATGTTTTTATTACACTATCTATGGATTCCCTACTCAGTTATTTTTCTCAATGTTTCTCATTGGTTCATTGGTCAGGGCATTTTCAATGTCCACTATTTGTATTGCTTGTTTAATTTCAGATTTGGAGAGTGATAAATAAAAATAAGCTTCTGCATCTTTCCTTTGTGTGGAATATGAGTAATGACCTGTCTCTGGACCCTTTCCACTCCATCATTGCATATGTAAATGGCTCTTGGTATATTTCACTAGAGCCTCAAGAATTATGTTTGGAACTTCTAATGTTTTATTGAAAAAAAAACTACATACCTGGATGGTTATCAGTAAAATGTCTAAGGCTGTTGGCTCCTCAGGTGTTGATAGAGACTTCCTCTGGCTTTGCAGCTTTATGATCTGCATCCATTTGCCATTAAAGAATGAATAAAGCATCTCGACCTCTCTGATGGTGACTATGAGTATATTTCCATGCCGATCTTTAATGGGCTCATAGTAAACTCTTCCTAAGTTGTGTGTTCCAAGTAAATTCTAGAAACAAATAGATTACTGGTGGCTTATATGATATTGCACAAACAAACAACAGAACTGCAACAAAAAACACTGAATAATTATCTGATTTCTGAGAAGGTGTTTCTTTCCTCCCCCAGACTTAAACCTAGAATGTATGGCATCATAGAAATGTACTTGACAGAAACTCAAAGAAAATGTCTTCACCATGAGCCTGCAAAGATTATAGCAAGAGGCACAAAAATTGTGCTTTTTTAAGCAAATTCAATATCTGTAAATATCTCTTACCCACATAGACACACCAGCACATAAACCTCAGTTACCAAGCACTTGAAGAGAATCCCAGATGTTTTAAAGAAAAATGCCTGATATTTCAAGTATGCTACTTGTGGAATTTTCAAGAGATCTACAGTAAGCTAGTATGAGGTGGGGTTGTTTAAAATGAAGACGTGAATTGACAATGTAGCACATTGTGCAGGTCCCTAAATGACTGTATATTTCCTTCAAGATACTTTAATTGGGAGATTGGGCTGGTTTGACTTATCTGCATACCAGGGGGTTCTATTTATTTAAAAGTTTGTTAAAATTGCTTATAAACTAGGTTAACTGAGGCAGACAATACTTTTTAGAAAGGGAGGAAAGGGAAGGATGCCACATTAAATGTGGAGGGACCCAGGTAGTTGTTACTAAAATAAACAGGAGTTTTACAAATATGCAGGCTTTGAAGATTTCTAACCTAGAGCACTGGATGAATAGGATAACATTCCCCCTTGCTTTAAATATCTATGATTTTTAAAAACTATAAATCATCCCAGAGCTCCTAGCTACTATTTTTGTGAGCAGAAGTAAAACTGGAATTTGTAAAGTGACAAGGATGACCTAAAAATGAATGAGCAAGGTGGTTAATATCTATACTTATGAATGTTCCCTCAAAGATAGAGGTTGTGTCTTAAACCTTTTATTCTTCCTCACAAAGACCAAGCATGTGACAAATAAAGAATTTCATATAGATATTGACATATTGTAAAAATTAATTTGGCAAGATTATTATTTTTTCACATGGCCTAATCATTCAGTAAGATTTCTTCTTTCCAATAACTGACTTCCAAATCATAGAGAAGTAGCTTAGGTAAGGCTTTTTAGTGCAGCCCTGTGTAGTACTATAGTTTTCTATAGAGGCAGTTTGCTGCTAATAAGCAGGGTGATGTTGGTAAATTGGCTAGCATGTGTGTGTGTGTGTGTGTGTGAGAGAGAGAGAGAGAGAGAGAGAGAGAGAGAGAGAGAGAAGGTGTGGGGGGAGGAGGAAAGAAAAAAGGCCTCAATTGTGGCATATACCAATTGCTGTGGTGCAAATACTCCTGCTGTGACTGATTTCAAGCTACCAATGGTTTGACAACAGGCTTTCAACATTCCTGAATATTTAACAGTTGGCTCTCCTGAGCCAGTACAAGTTGGCTCCCAGCCTATCACTGCCATTAAGCCTTATACTGGTGTTGAGTTTCAGGGCTGGCGGCCATTCATTAATTGTTGGACTTCTGAAAAATTATTTATCCTCTCTGGTCCTGAGTTTCATCATCTAAAATTAAGGGTTCTTACAGTTCCGACATCCATTATGCTAATCCTTACCTCATAGAGTGTTTGAGGGATTAAGTCAAGCAATACAAAAAAGTGTTTTGCAAACTCTCAAACTTGATGCAGCGTAGAGTATAGTCTTTCTTTACTGCTCTGATTGGAATCCCATCCTAGCTTACACCCACTTATTTTCAAGACCCAGCCCAGATTTCATCTTCTCTGGGAAGACATTCCCAACTCTCTGAAGTAGAATTTACAATTTACCATTCTCTCCTTTGTATCCTGCTGCTCCTTGTACAAATTTTTTTTCTTAGTATGTCTTTGGCTTTACTACATGTGTTGATGTATATGTTAGGAGATCACAGTTGTTTCATCTCTGTGTCTCTGGCTCCCTTACATAACGCCTGTCACATAGTAAGAGCTCAGTAACTTTTTGTTGACTGAATTAACTAACATATTATATTATTATTGAGACATTGGAAAGCATGATTCACTTTGGATCAATGCTGATGGATAGACATTGATTGAAATGGTCATTTCACTTAAACAGAGTTATATCAGTGGTTCACTACCAGCTTTGGATAGGTTTTCTAATGGGTTGAATAAGAAAGCACTAAAAGTCTTCCTGAAATTTTTCATTGACATCAAACTGGGTTGGATAGCTAGCTTTGGGGAGAGCCCAATTTAAAAGCAGAATATACTTGTGGAAATAAATTGCAATCATGTTCTGAGGGGTAAGTTCAGAGTTCTTTAGGGCCTAAAGGAAAAATTGACCATGTTAATACCTGTCATGCCGTATAATCAAGGTTGGGCAATCTGGACCCCCTGATGATTTTTCAAGGTAAGGAGGAATAGGAGCTACCCCAGGGCTAACAGGAATGCATCTAGGTTATAACCAGAATAAATCACAGGACTATCTATAAGCCCTAGACAGAGGCACAATATTTAGAGACATTTATTAAGTTTTGGGTGACATGGGAAGTTGAAGGAGGTCCAGAGTCAGGATATGAAGTCCTGGTAAAGAAGAGTAAAATTTGGGGGAAATCATTTTTCCCCCTTGACAAATGAAAAAGACAATATTCATCAATTGTTACCTAGCTCCTACTCACTAACCCCCCCATTTCTAAAAGCTGTGGAGGAGGAAAGTTTAATGTAACACAATCTGCAGTGTCAGATTATTACTGTCTTTTGAAGATACGTAGTTCAAACACTTCTCAATGAAAGAAAACCAGTATGGAGTCTTAGTCATTTACAGGCGTTCTCATCTTAATTTTTTTTATTCAAATGCTGATGGACACATCTCTCCTCCTGTCTTGGTAATTTTATTTAATTAACTAATTTGTTAATTAATACATACTTTGTCTTCTTTCAAATAAAGTTCAAGGCCATTTCTCCTAAATAGGCTCCATATAATGCAGAATAGACTCCTACTTTTTCAATTTTAGTATAATATAGATAATTTTTTTTCTATTTAAAATTTTTGTCCACTTTTTGTAAATTAACACATAATAAGATGATGAGATATTGGAAAGAATGTAGACGTTGAATTTGTATAGATCTGGATTTGAATCTGGACTCTGCTGCTTCCTATTTGTGCAACTTTGGGCACAAATTAAACTTTCTCAGCCTCAGTTTATCATTTGTTAAATGAATATCAATAATAGTACTTTCTCATTAGTTTGTGGTGAAGATTAAAATGAGATAAAGTTTGTAAAGCACTTAGCATAGTACCTGGCACCTAGTCCGTTAAATAAATGAAAGTAGTTGTTTCACTATTATTATTTAGTATTATGTATTAAGGGACCTCACTATGGAGCAGAAATAAGAAAACAAGGACTAAATTGCACAGTGGTTGGTGTGCACTGTGACAAAGGTAAGTCAGGGTGTCATGGACACAGGGAGGGGGAGAAAGATCTTGATTAAGGCCTTTGTGTGCCATGATAAAATGTCTGGGCCACTATTGAAAGATTCTAAGTCAAAGAATACCACGGTCAGAATCTTTTAGATTGGTTACTCTGGCAGAAGTGTGAAGAATGGATTGGAGGGAGTTAGGACTGGAAGCAGAGGGATGACTTTGGAGGTTCTTGATATAACTGGAGTAATTAGGCAGTAGCAGTAAGACTGGAAAGGAGAGGAGAGTAAAATGAGATATACCAGAAGTTAAGTCAAGAGGATTTATGTATGGTTGATGCTGATAAAGCTTATATATAATGCATGTTTATTTTCCTCAGAACATTGTAAAATTTGAGTACCGTGAAGCTTTGGTCACTGTGCAGGTGGGAGAACTATCAGGTCCTTAACTATGGTATGAGACACATTTCTGTGATTCCTTTTCCCTTTAGTTAGACAGAGTTTCCCTCTGTCTAAGGACTGACAAATATTTATCTAACTAACACTTACTGAGGGTGTACCACATGCCAGGCATTGGGGATATAGTGGTAACCAAGACAGACACATTCCCTGCACTCAGGAACTCACAGTCCAAGTGGGTCACTAAACAGATAATGACACAAATAATTAACTAACGAGATTATGATCATTGTTTTGAATGAAGAATACAAGGAGCTATGAGAGTGATTCACTGAATTAGGAGATCAGAGAAAGGCTCCCTGAGCAAGTATAAAAATTTAGTTGAGATCTGAGGATATGTAGGTATTAGCAAGACAAAGAAGAGGAAGAAGACATTTCTAAGCATAGGAAACAGTGTGTGAGCTAGCAAAGGAGACTGAGAAAGACAAGAGAGACCAGAAAGATGGAAGAAAATGAGTGTGGAATCATGGAAGCCAAGGGATGTGGCAGTCTAAAAAAGAAGAGGGGGACCAAGTATATCAGACATTGCTGAAATGTCAGTTGCAAAGAGAACTTAAAAGTGTCCATTGCATTTAGTGAAACTGAAGTCATTGGCAGGGATGGATCCAGGTTTTGTGGAGGCCTGAACCATACAATTTTGGGTAAGACAAAGAATACAAAATTATAAATATAAAATTAGATATAAAAGTGAATATATCCTTAAAATGAGAAAAGAAATTCCCCTTCCCCTACCAAATGCTGGAGTATTTGGAATTTCAGGTCTCCTTTTCCCCTTGAAATTTCTTTAGGCAGTTTACCAGAAATGCTTCCTGACTGCAACTCAACATCCCTTCCCCACCTAAAATACTTTATGACTCCCTACTCACAGGGCTCATACATGTGAGGGGCCCTGAAGCTCCAGTTTCATTAGCATCATCTGCCTCTGATTACTCAGTTTACCAGAAATGCTTCCTGACTGCAACTCAACATCCCTTCCCCACCTAAAATACTTTATGACTCCCTACTCACAGAGCTCATACATGTGAGGGGCCCTGAAGCTCCAGTTTCATTAGCATCATCTGCCTCTGATTACTGGTGGTCTTCAAGAGCAGTTTTTTAGGCATGGTGGTAGCAAAAATCAGAGAGAAGGCTGAGAACTGATGGGAAGTGAGAAAGTAAGAGGAGAAAGAATGGAGGCAACTTTTTCAAGAAGTTTGGACGTAAGGGGGAGAAGAAAGATAGTTTGATAGATGAAGGGGCATGTGGAGACAAGGAAGGAATGTGGAGGAGGTTAAACTGGAGAGACTTGAGTATTTTTAAGTTGGGAGGGAAGAGATGGGAGCCAGAGCACATGTGGAGGGATGAGCTTTTGGTAGGAATAAGACTTTATTTGTTGAAATAGGAGGGAAGAAAGAGGGGTCAGTGCAAGGAAGTTTGTAAATTTGGTGGTGGAAAATCATTAATTCATATTTATTTTCTTAACAAATTACGCAGTGAAGTCATCACCTGAGAAAGGGATGGAGAGTGTGAGGAAGTGGAAGGGGTATGGGAGAAATGAAAGAGGTTTTAAATAGTTGCTTTATAGTATGGGAAAGCAAACTTAATAGAGAAATGGAATCAGTTCAGTAGGTAACATTACATGTGATAATTTAATTTAATCATGAATTTAACGTGAAACCAGTCATCCCATTTTTTGGTGACTTTTCTGCAGCAATGTGAAAAACTACCAGTGTAGACATGTTGAATTCATTCAAACTTGGGATTTTTCCAAATAATATGGAGGGAGAAAATTTTAGAATGTTTTCAAGGGAGTGATTAAGATGGGCCAAGGAATCTAAGCTGGACAAGGAGGGAAATGACCTCAGGAATGGGCTGATGCATTATGAAAAGTGGCGAGGTCAATAGATTTAGGGGCCAAGGAAATCCAGGAGCTATTGCAATGGGAGTAGTTGAGTATGGTCATACTGGTTATCATGGTGTCCCTCAGTATCTGTCTGCACTGGCTTGTAACAGCCTGATCTTTCTTGTGTTACTGATATCAGCTGAAAGTGTTCTAGGAAGCCTCCAATAAACACATAATAAAGAGCCCCACTTGAAATTCTAAAGTTGTTCATTTTGTGATCCAGGCATGTCTGGGCTATATAACGGGTTAATGGGAGGGTCCACTAGGGAGTCTGAGCCTCTTGGGAATATATGTTATCTTAAAGAAAGAGCAGTTTGAGGTACAGTGGCATGGTTCAACTCAAGTGGGTCAGTGATAAAAGGAAGGGGCACTTTGAATTCAGCACAGTCTTCATGGCCCAGCTCCAAGAACTTCTCCTGGGGTTAGAGGAGAAGATTTTTTTTTTTATTTTTTAATTTTTTTTTTTAAATAAAGATGACCAGTAAGGAGATCTTAACCCTTGACTTGGTGTTGTCAGCACCACGCTCTCCCAAGTGAGCTAACCGGCCATCCCTATATAGGGATCTGAACCCATGGCCTTGGTGTTATCAACACCACACTCTCCCAAGAGAGCCATGGGTCAGCCCTAGAGGAGAAGATTCTGCAATCAAGAGTGAGTTGAAATGAGGAATGCTATTTGGTAAAATCTGAAGTCATTGAAGACACAAGGCAGTAAGACACCTATGTAATAGAGTATAGTACTGAGGGGCAAAAGTTGCATTTCAGGATTAATTGAATAGAAACATAGTAATTATTACTATTTCAGGGGGATGAATTGGGGGTTCAAGAAATAAAGCTCCCATAATTGCAGGTGGGGGTGGGGGCCATAAAGTATTATTTCGTTATTACAACCCTATTTTTTTTTAATTTATTTTTTTGTCTTTTTCGTGACCGGTAAGGGGATCGCAACCCTTGGTGTGGTGTCATCCGCACTGCGCTCAGCTAGTGAGCGCACCGGCCATTCCTATACAATAGGATCCGAACCCGCGGCGGGAGCGTTGCTACGCTCCCAGCGCCACACTCTCCTGATTGCGCCACGGGGTAGGCCCAATTACGACCCTATTTTTATATAGTGGTTGGTATGGCCTGGCCAAACACAGCTTGCATAGATTCCAGTTATGCATATTTCTGGGGCTGATGTAACTGACAGCTTTGTAGGTAGATACCCATCACTGATAAGGACTCAATGAACTCTTAAGGACCCCAATTTCATGTAGTAGATGTTTTTCTGTGCCAAGAACCACAAATTCAGTTGATACCAGAAAACAATGAGAGGAAAACCCAGAAGAGCTTGGTTAGAATTCAATGCCGGTTTTAGGAGGAGCTCTGTAACCTACGGAGATGACTTGGTCTGATTTGATTGATAGTACAGAAGGATTAATAAATTCAGGATTAGAAGTAATCTTTTAAGAGTTTATTTGTTTATAAGTAAGCAAAAATGTATGCAAATGCCTATGTGATGGAGTTTGGATGTGTTGTCACCTCCGAAACTCGTGGAAATTTGATCAACAATGTGGCAGTGTTGGAAACTGATTGAGTCATGGGGGCAGATCCCTCATGAGTGGATTAGTGCTCTACCAGGTGGGGGGAGTAATGAGTGAGTTCTCGCTCTATTAGTTCTCATGAGAGCTGGTTGTTTATAGGACCCTGGCACCTCCTCTCTCCCTTCCTCTCTCTTGCTTCCTCTCGCCATGTGATCTGCTGTACCCACTGGCTGCTTGCTGCTTCCTGCCATGAGTAGAAGCAGCCTGAGGTCTGTGCCAGATGCACCTGTCCCAGAATCGTAAGCCAAATAAACCTCTGTTCTTTATACATTACCCAGTTTCAGGTATTTCTGTTATAGCAACACAAATGGACTAATACTCTATGCTTTAACAAAAGCACCACATCAAGAAACACCTCAGAATATCTGCTGGTCCTTTTCTTGATCTCTGCACACTCATAGATGCACAGGATACAAGAGCAGCAAGGGTTGTCTAGTCAAACTCCTATTATTTTGCAAGTGATGAAACTGAAGCCCAGAAAGGAGAAATGAGTTGGTGGATTAGTATCAAATGTAGAACGCAAGTTTCCTTACTTTTGTTTAGGGGTCATTCATATACTCTTCCGGACAGATCTCCTTGAAGGAAATTGCCAAAAGCTCAGGATCCCTATATGAGCAGGTATGACAGCTCAAACTGTCCAAGTAACCTTCATGTGCCTAGGGATATGAAAGAGGAAGGATCCCACTCTTTTCCTTTCCAGGCTGGATTGGTGACAACTGTCCAAGTTTTTAAAACACTTCCTTGGGGGTCTCGGTTGAAACCTGGCCCCTCACCTGTAGGTGGGCTGTTGCTGCAAGCATCTTCTGTCGAGTTTGAAGCACTGTGGATGAGGACATGGAGATAGGTATGCTTTGCCTCAACCATCTTATATCTTCCCACATACAAGACAGCTGCAAAAGAAGTCACGAGGTCATATCATCATCCAAGCCAGTATATGATTTAGGTTGTGGCATCAAAGCAAAGCAGGGAGAAGGAAACCTGACCCCCGATGTTTGTTCTCCAGTCCATTTTCCAATACATGCAAAACAACTTTTTGATCTCTGTCCAGTTGGAGAAAGATCTGAATGCTAATGAAACAGTCAGATCCACATTTTAATCTTTGCCAAATGATCCCATAACTCAGAATAGTGGAGACACAATCTGACAGGATGCAAGCTTCTTTGCTTTGAAAATGTAGTGTAGACATTACCTTGGTGTTTTTTACGGCATAGGGCTTATTAAGACTGTAAAGGACCTTTGAGATAATTTATTTCCACCTCAATACTTTGATTGCTGGAAATTCCTCAACTAAAGTTATAGGCAGTAACATTGATAAAAAGGGGAAAAATGAAATCAGTATACCTTTGTAAACCACAGAAAATCTTGTGTAATAGAACTGGTGTGAGAGTCATCTATTTCAACAATTGGTATTTGATCTTCATTGGTGACTAAAATGTTGTCTTTGTAATAAAATATAACAGCTATGTAGAGTCCCCTAAAAAGAAAAAGGAAAATAAGAAATTGTCCTTAACTGTCTCCTCTACCAAGCTTGAGTCTTGGGTAAAAAAATTATTTTTGAACATGATAAAAGATGAATTTAAAATATACCTAGGAACATATTCCTGCTAAGTATCACAAATCCACTGGCTAGAACTCAGAGCAATTAATATCTTGCCGAATTCTTAGGAGAAAAGTGAACTTTGCTCTTTTAATAACAAAAAAGAAATTTTTACCAAGTTTCTACTCAGAACCAAAACCCGCTGATTTCTGAGAATTTAACATTTCCTGGAAAAACTATATAGGACCCACCGTTTTAAGGTCTTCACAAACTTGTTTGAGGAATGGAATAGGTGTTTCAGGCTCCTTGAGACTGACTGCTTACGGCCTGTGGTTTGTAATTTTGAACTTTCTAAAACAGAAAAAAGATACAGTGTAAATTCCATTTGGCAGATAATCACTCCCAATTCCTTCTTCCTACCATCCTGCCTTCCTGTCCCCTGTCCCCTCATTGTCACTTATTCTGTTTCATGTGGGAATTCAGCTCATTCATTCCTCTTATGTCTTGAGATGCCAACGGTTAATCCAAATAATGAGGAACTACTCAAAAATGTTGGAGATGAGTAATATAACTCCAGGGGAAACCACTTAGGTATTTTGTTGGTAATCAGGATGAGCAATTTATTATAAGGTAGGATAAAAAGAAGTGGAATCAACACCTTTGCCCTCTGCCCTCCTCCCCCAGTTGCTTTCTCATATTCACATACTTCTCAGTCTGGCAAAACTCTCCTTGTTAGTCTATATATTTTGCTAAAATTTTTTATGATAACAGAAATATAAGCACATTACAGAAAGTTTGGAGAATAAAAAAAAGAACAAACCCCACCCGTATCATCCCACCACTTCTGCACAACCACTGCTAGCATTCAGGGGCAGTTTTTCCAGTGTGTATGTTGGCATGCAAAAATAGTTATAGGAATAGGTATGATTATCTCATTATTCAGAAGAAGAAACTGAGGCTGAGAAGTGAAATGGATTTCCCAAGATCAAAGAGCCAATACCTGGGAAAACTGAGACATTCATTCGCTGAACAAATATTGGGACACTGCCATGTGCAAAGCTCTTTAGCTACAATGGTGAGCAAATCATCCATTGCTTCTGTTCAGCTCTTCTATTTACAACCTGATCTTTCTCTAATAAAAGTAGTAGACTTCTTACAACAGTCTTTTCAACTGATTTCAACTCTCATATTCTATGTAATGAAGGGAAGCTGAGGTTGTTGGTGTCCTCACCCAACTTATAACAGACATGTCAACTGGGGATGAGAACGTAGTCCATATTGCCACTGTTAGGCACAGAAATGTGGGTGGATGGCCCATGGCTGAGGTTCAGTGTGGCTCTGCCAGTGATTCTATAGGAACGGCTGACCGACACAAGCATTCGTGCTAGTTTCAAGCTTGTGCTGGTAATGATTATTCCTGGCAGAACAAAGCAAAAACATTTTTTTCTGATTTGAGCATGAGTTTGGCTGTTTGAAAAGTGATGCTGCTGGGACTTCTGGGTAAATGCTGCACTGTGAACATATTGATTACTTACTATTCTCTCCCCAAAACTCACTAAAACCAGAGTATAGATTAAGAAACAAAAGGAAACAACATAAATCTATAAAGACAAAAACATGGAAAAGGAGTAAAAAGCAAGTAAATGTTGGTAGCTGGAAAGCAGATGGACAGATGGATTTTACAGACCTGAGAAAGGTGAAGCCTAAGGCAGCAGTGGACAAAGCTGAGAAGTAACTTGATTCACCCGATGGGCACCATAGACTGCTGGAAGTGGGAGGTGAATATAGTGCTAAAGGCAGGAGGATTTGTTGAAGTCCGTTTAAAAAGCAGTTAGACTTCTAGATCTCTTCCCGTACTGTTTAGCTGGACAGGTACTTTTTCCCCACCCTAGAAGAAAGCTAGTGGATTATTATCTAAAAATACCAGAGGGCTCTGGAGTGGGAGATATCAGGTACAGTTGAAAATGGGGTGATGGTGGTAGTAGAACTGTACCCACAATAGATGGATTAAGTGAAAGTTTCCAGACATAATATTTCCCTACTGGGTTCTCAGAACACTGGTACCAAAACATATCCTCTAGGCAGGACACTGGAAGAAACTTCTTTGGAGAATTTGACAGCCTAAGAGAATACACCCAAAGATTCTGACATTGCGAAATTCCCAGTGAAAAGGTGGTGCCAGATCACCCTGCAGTTAAGCCTGTAAATAAAGAGCCTTATCCATGTGCTCAGAGCTTCCCAGTGGCTATTGATTTCTTTTTTGAATATGAGCAGACACCCAAAGATCACCAGGCAGTTGAGGAAAGCATCTAACATGAAACACAAAGGCCCAAAACAAAATAAAGAGCAACTTAAAGAGTGACTATGCTAAGGAAAAAAAATATAAAATGAAACAAAGCCCATCATTAATATTCTGCGAGATAAAAGAAGACACTGCATCCTTGTCAAAAGGATAGGAGTCTATAAAAAAGGAACTAATCAGAGAATGAAAGAGAGCTTTAGGAATTAAAAATATGTTATCAAGAACTGAAAAACCCAATAGAAGGCTTAGAAAGTAAAGCTAATGAAATCTCCAAGAAAGTAGATTAAAAGGACAAGAGAATGGAAAGTAGAAGAAAAAAAAAAAAGATAAAGGACTAGCTTAGGAGACCCAACATCTGAACAACCAAAGAGGAGAGGAAAAGGAGGGGAAGAAATAATTAAAGTAATTTCGGAAAGTGTCCCACAATTGAAGGTTATAAGTTTCCATACTGAAAGGACTTGCTAAGTGCCCAGTACAACATACAATAGATACTAAGGCACATCACAGTGAAATTTTAAAACACTGAGGTCAAAAGAAAGTTTAAAACCTTCCAGAGTGGGGAAGAACTATGTTTTATATAGAACCTCTGGAATCAGAATGGTATTAGACTTCTCACCCTGAAGGCTAGAAGACAATGAAGCAACACATTCAAAATCTGAAGGAAAATTACTTTAACTGAGAATTCAATACTTATTGAAACCTTTAAATAAATGTTAAGTAGAATAAATACATCCTTAGACATAACAGTGTTTGCCAAAAATTATCTCCCAAGCTTCTAAAGGAAAGGCTCTGCCGAAATGAGGGACTAACCCAAGAAAGAGGAAGATATGCGATACAAAAACAAAAAATCTAATACTGGAGAGTGTTGAGAAGAGTCCTCAATATAGTGGTAAAAGGTGGTCCCAGAGTGATAGTGGTGCACTAGGCGTGGAGGCAACCAGTAACCAATCTAGATTACAGCAGGACAGGATCTGTGAGAGGTTTCCTTAAGAAGACACGATTGTGATGTATTTGATTATATTGACAGATGACTGATAGAACTGGAGAATAGTTTGGGGACTAATTATGACCACACAGAAAAACAAACACATAATAAAAGATGATTATTAACTTCAGAAAAAACAAAAAGCTATCCAGGAAAGAAAAATAATCATAAAATTTACCTTATTATTTATAATGTAAATAGTAAGTACTGATCTTGTTAAAATTCAGTGTAAATATATAAGGAGGATGAGAAAATAGGAATTGTATATGCACATAAGTGGATGATGGGGTAAAGAAGAGATAAAGCATCATTTTCTTTAGTGAGGTAATTCCTAAAATTGAAAAAAAAATCAAGAATTAGAAATATAAACATGTTATTTAGAGATATAGAAAAAATACCAAGAGAATTAGGTAAAAGAGTTAGGAGGTTGCCTTGAGGGAGCAAAAAATGGAGGACTGAAGAAATTGCTTTTTAAAAACATAATAAAGCTATTTTAAGTGCTTTACTTAAGTTATTCAATCCTTAAACAATAGATGAATGAGGTATATACAATTATTCTAACTTTACAGATGAGTGAAGTAAGCACAGAGAGGTTTTGGCACTTTGTTCAAGGTCACATAGGTAGTAAATGTCCGGCCTGTATTTGAACTCAGGCAGTCTGGCTTCAGAGACACATCATAGTCATATAAAATTTAGGGCCAAGCCTGCGGTGCACTCGGGAGAGTGCGGCACTGGGAGCGCAGCAGCTCTCCCGCCGCGGGTTCAGATCCTATATAGGGATGGCTGGTGCACTCACTGGCTGAGCGCAGTGCAGCTGGTCACAAAAAGGACAAAAAAAAAAAAATTAAATAAAAATAATGATTAAACTAAAAAAATAAAAGGACTAAAAAAATAAAAAGAAAAGCAAGGAATGTTACTACCAAGTGGGAAAATGGCCTGTGCAAGTGTTAAATATTCCAGGTCTCCTTCATTCTGGGCACATGTACTTCTGAAGCCTTTGTGGTTGGGTGGGGCCACATGACAAGTTCTGGTCAATAGTCTTGAGTGTAAATGATATGCATAAAGTCTTGCCCATATGAGACTTTCAAGAGTTCCTTTTCCCTTTCCTATGATTGCTGACAAATACTTCTAGAGAGAGGATGATAACAACACAGGAGAGCCCCAAGCTGACCAATGGCAGATGCATAACACAAGGGAGAAATACACGTTTTGGGGGATCATGTGTCATTGCAGCATGATATAGCCCACGTTGACTGATACAGGGTCTAAACTCACTTTTCTCCTAAGAAGGACTGTGGCTTCTATATGGTACTATTCTGCTTGGTTCAAGGCTCTGGAGCAAAGGTTCACTTTCTGTACCCTGCAAGAGTTCCCTAACATAGGGAATATAGTTTATTCTTATTGAGATGTCTAGCACCTGACACACAGTAAGCAGGCCTTCAGTTAATGTTGGTTGGCAAGTTGAGTAATTGGATAATAATTGAAATTCACTCCTATAGAATACTGCTATGATGAACACAACTGGCTTTTTCATAATTCATTATGTATGCCAGGGCACTAATCCTATGAACAATAATTCTTGCTTAACATATTCCTTGAATTTTTATCCCAGTGCTGCGCATGCAGACTAGCTGTGGCCAGTTCTTTAGACCAAATGCAGGAATTAATGTGGGTTTTTGTCTGGCTTTTTCATAATTCATTATGTATGCCAGGGCACTAATCCTATGAACAATAATTCTTGCTTAACATATTCCTTGAATTTTCATCCCAGTGCTGTGCATGCAGACTAGCTGTGGCCAGTTCTTTAGACCAAATGCAGGAATTAATGTGGGTTTTTGTACCTCCTATGTAGGGTTTTGGTAAGAGAAGGGATGTTTTATTACTGCTTCTGTCTTTGGAATATGCTGTATATTTAGCGAGTACCCCAGGCTCACAGTGGAGTTACTGATTACACATTAATTCAAGGATATAACTAAAGTGCTGAGGATGAAGAATGGCTCCATTCTTCATCTGGAAGAACAATTAAAAAAAAAATGCTGGCGTGGCTGCGGAGAAAAAGGAACTCTCTTACACTGTTGGTGGGAATGCAC